CCAAGCCTCAGTATCACCCATAAAAACTAATATGACATCACTCCAGGAAGGCATGACACAAAATCAATGTCAACCAGGTACAAGTCTTAACCCTTGAAGTTAGTAACTTTTGTCTAAGCTAGAACCTTCATTTGGCTGGCTTCCAAAAATGTCACAAATTATATGCAGAACACCTACACAAAAATTTAGAAAAATCTTACTTAAATAAAGATATACACTTACTAATTATGGAAAAGGCAAATGGCCAATCACCATAGGTATTTAAATCCCTTCAGAGACTTTATCATCATAAACAGGAATCAGGGGGTATATAGTTGTGTGTATATAAGGGTAAATAATTGTTACAACAGTTTTACTACCATTTACAAGTAGATAATTTGTAGAAAATACTTTTATTTTTACTAATTACATTACTTATTGTTTAGAGCAATCACTTATATTTGCACTAAATTGTCCATAGAATTGTGAACAAAATTGTTTTAATTTAATCTTTCATGACAAGTATGAAAAATGTTGTTCTGAAAACGTTGCATCTGTCCTGTTTTCAATTAATAGTAACAATGGAGGACTAATTTAATTTGAAAAATATGACTTGTATTACAAATCATTTCATCATAAACTAATGATGTTTTTAAAATTAAGTAAACTGTGAGCTCCTACTTGAACCTGAGAAGTTTGTATATTGAATTTTTGTGCAAAGCTACTTGAGTTCAATCTGTGCTTTCCCTAATTTTGAAATGAGAAACTATAGGAAAGGCATAAATCATTGCCTACTCTTGGGTTACTCTTGTCAGGCTGAAGATCAAATAGTAGAATTCGACTATTTTTGTTTGTTTGAAGTTTAGCATAAAGCAACACAATGGGCTATCTGTGCTTTATCCACCATGGGTATCAAAACCCAAATTCTAGAGTTGTAAGTCCACAGACATACAGCTGTGCTACTACGGGGAAAATTTGACTGTCACTCTTATAATGCACCCATGGACCCAAAAGGCAAAGCATAATGTTTTTTGTTGTTTTTTTTAAAAAGGGTTTAATACATGGAACCACAGATTTACAGTCTGAAACACTAATCACTTTGTCCAAACCTGGAAATAAATCAAAACATAAGAGGAAAGCATTCAGTAACATTAAAATACAATAACCTCACATTGCACCAAACAATTAAGCTTGTTACTATGTACTATATTCCCACAACTTCTGCAAAATGACAGTGTGGATTGAGAATGAAGAACAAAAAAAAAAACTGAAAGCTGCAAGCATTAACAGGACTGAAATCGGCAAAAATTAAGAAAAGAAAAAATAAGGACAGGGTCAGTGAAAACAACAGCTTAGAATATCACTGCAGAGAATAATGATTCAAGAATTTGTGAAGTGACTGTTAGTGATTTAAACCATTTATTTTTGATACAGTTATTCGAAAATACTAAAAAGTGCCTTAAACCACATAGCAATTTAGAAAAATATAAATCTTACTATTATACTCATGCCTTGTACTTTTATACAAAGCAAAGTTCCTCAACAAAGATGTACTAAATAGTTTGTTTGTTTTTTTAATTTCGTGCAAAGCTACATGAGGGCTAATTTAGCAGTGTAAGACTAGAGGGAAGGCAGCTAGTCATCACCACCCACCGCCAACTCTTGGGCTACTCTTTTACCAATGAATAGTGGGATTGACTATCACATTATAACACCCCCACAGCTGAAAGGGCGAACATGTTCGGTGTGACGGGGATTCGAACCCGCGACCTGCAGATTGCGAGTCGAGCGGCCTAACCACCTGGCCATGCTGGGCCTGTACTAAATAGATGTCTAACACTGACATTATTTATTACTAGCAACATTCAATATTCAAGCAGAAATCCAAATTAAAAAAAAATAAAACTGCAGAACACTTTCCACAATTTTCTAGAAAATTCACTTCTTCCTCCTGCAGCACCTTCACACAAGTGGATTCTTCCAGAGTATCCTCATGTGTTCTAGGACACCCTTATACAAACAGATACTTTCCCTTGGGTTCCTTTACGCAAATTAACATGACCCCTGGATCATTCTCATACAGACACTTTGCCTGGAGTATCCTCATGCAAATTAACATTTTCTCAGAACTTCCTTACATTAATATTTTTCCTGAATACCCTCACACAAATAAATATGGTCTATGGAGCATCCTTGCAGAGACAGCTTTCCTAGAACACTCTCCTACAAATAAACACTCTCCAGAGTACCCTCACACAAACACATACTTTGTCTGGAGTACTCTCACACAAATGACCATGCTCTCCAGAGCACTGTCACATAACAAGTAAAACGTAACTTGAAAATTCTAATACATAAAAAGTACAGTCTATTTACTTCACAGTTACTGTTGGCAAAATAAGCACTCCACATACAACTATTTTAATTTTTTTGATAAAAATTATATTACCTAAATGGTAATCGAGAACTATGTTTTCTTGGAGAGCGAGCTTTAACGACAGCTGGCCTATGTATCTCTTCTAAGATTGATGGTGCTACATAAGTAAAACCCTAGGAAGAAAAATAAAACACAAATTAATCTAATCACTGTTAAAACAAACTAATTAAAACGGTGTTAATATAACAAACTATGTATTTATAATATAAACAAACTAGACTCAATGTTGCATAGTAACCTCAACAGTATTGATAAAACTAGTCTACTAGTATATACAAGACCCCAAGTTTAATGTGATAACTAGGCTGTGTCATTTGATGCATAATCCAGGACATGCATTTTCAATTTAAACCAATATTTATCAAACAAATCCTGAATTTTACAAAATATACTGTTCATTCTTTTTCCAATTTTCACCCTACTTTTTATCATTCAGTACAATACATTGCATTAGATATATGTATAAAGATAAGACATTAGTCTGTGTTTATATGCCAAGCTGCAGGTTGAAGTAAGTTGTGTATCTAGAAGTAAAAGAAATACACAATAAACAAACAGGTATGCACACAAGCTCTGAAGTGCACGTGCATCTCAACATATTAATGAATCTCACACCAACCACATGAGTTGTGACATACACATTTACAACTGCAAAGTAAACATTTTAAAATATTAGGCCTAAATGTAAATAGCTATAGGCTAATGGTTCTAAGTCTATAACAGAAAGCTATTTATTCAAATGAAAAGTATTATTTGGGGATTAGAGATGTATTGTTTTCTTAAACTCAGAGGTGGCATTGTGTGTTGAATTATGTTTTAGTACTGCAGCAAACCACATTGAATTCCATTCATCAAAGCATTAATCTACTGAATACTTCTTTCTTGTCCTTCTATCCACCAAATAAACCCAATATTTACCCAGGAAAATTATTAGTAGTTTTTTTGCACCAATTTTCACCTGTTTTTATTGTTGTAGTAATAAACACTAATAAATTTCTAGGACAAGTTAAAATAAAAACTGAAAATGCAGGTCTCTCTGCATAATTTACATACAGTTGTATAATCAGTGGTTGACCTTATAATCATAGTCTGAATTTCTAGACTCGATAAAGTCAAGTCTACATCAGTATTACCAGAGTTATTTATAACTTTTCACTTAGCTACAGTTTGTTTCTTATTGTTTGACAAATGGTGTCTGTTGGACAAACAGTCTGATTAATTGCCTGACGAAAAACTTCTAAAGTCTAAAAAAAGTGTATTTTGTTCTTATTTCTTAAAAAAATAAGTGTTACGGTTGCATAATTTTAAATGTTTGCTGTTTAATGCATTATTATTGTTTCTCTGCATAATCACTACATGCTTAACAATTTTATGATGCATAACTTCAAACTGCCAACAACATTATTTTAATTTTTTGCAATATCAAAATCAGGATCCTGTATAAACATTTTTGATATAAGAAACTAGCTTAAACATTGTTAATATAATTAATATAAATATCATCAGTTATATTTGTCATAAGACAACAGTATTCTGTTTATTGTATTTTTAAACACTACATACTTTATTAGGTCCCTTAGAGTTGTTACTAGGAGAAATGTGTGTAATAGTATTTGAACTGTAGTATGTCCACTATATCCATTGTTGATGAGTTTCACTCAATAACAGAGATCATCATGCAGGTTGGGTTGCATCAAATATAGTAGTGGTCAGAACATTATTTATTAAGTCATTTGTTATGTTAACAATTGTTGTGGTATGAATGCTTCTGCTGGCAAAACATGATTATAATAAATAATAATACTTGATGAATTCTAGTATTGAGCAAAATGTGTCATCAGCAATGGATATGGCAAACACAGTGTGGTTGAAATACTGTTATTCTCAGAAGAGACTGAATAAAAAATATAGTGTTTACAAATACAATAAGCCTAATTCTACTGTTTTATCACAAACATAACTGTTTATAATCATACTTTGCCAGCAAAGGTGTACCTCGTAACAAATATTAATCTAAATGTTGCTAACATAAATTATTTTAAACATTGTAAATATAACAAAATGAATAATTTTGAAATATGTAATAAACTAAATATCGTTAATGTAACAAATTATATCATTTTGTCATAACAAACAATCCAATCTAAAATGGTTAATAAACAAACTTGTCCAAACAGCACTGATTCAGCAAGTTAACTCGAACACTATTGTTTGTATAACTAGCTAATCTATCAATTATCTGTATATGTATTGTTCCTTATGTGCAAAATATTTACAATACAAAGTTTGGAAATCTCTTAGTTTTTCTAGCCACTAATCAGTGTCAACTTACGAGAAACACCTGGTTGGCACTTTCACTGAGTTGTGTATCATCAGGACTGTCGAACGGTGTCTGCTTTGTAAACTTTGTGTCAAATTGAGAAACATCATCCTCACTTGTCTGTAATTAAATAATAATTCAGACTATGATCTGATAGAATAGTAAACTCATTTTGCACCATTAGAAGTTGGATTTCTATGTAACAAGCAAAACTGTCTGAGAATTTGTATACATTTTTACATTGTGCTTGTTCAGTATTAAACTGTTTACACCTCTAATGCTTTTTCTGACCAAGTATTAATACAAATTTTCAACATTAAACTGAACAATTATATCTTCTAAAAAGATCATAATGTTTAAAATATATCAGTTCAATATTACAATGCTTAAAACACACAATAGCTCAATATTGTACTGCTTAAAATACATGACCTTAAAACTACAATGTTTACATTTTTCCAATATTCAACAGAAGCCATCTTACAAGCTGAGGTTTTATTGGAGGGTCTACCCTCCTGGCAAGGACATCATCCCAGCTGACATGCTTAAAGAAAGGATGAATCTTGATGGCTTCAGCATCTTCATATCCACTTCCTAACCTCTGTGACACCTGTCTCTTCAACAACTGAATTCAAGATATTTCAGTTTTTAAACACATTACATTGACAATATGAATATCAACCAATGTTTCAGCCTTATATTATTATCTGTTACAGTTCAGCAATTAGCTTACATATTTCAATTATGACATTATTAGTGGATGGAAGACCCAACAGAAACAACACAAAAAAAAAATTATACTTTTTCTAAAACACCATGGATGAAATAATAAGCTAGACACAATAAGAAAATATCTGAATATTATATATTTAATTTAATTTCTATTTTTGACCTATACAATTTTTTTTTCTGGCCAAGATAATCTGATAATATAAAAACAATCTATTATAAACACTACTTTCTAAAACGTTAATTTATTCCTGTCTGTTAAATCACTTACAGTTTTAAAATTTGCAAGATAGAGGATAGTCTTACTACATCATTACACATAAAAAGATAAAACATCAAGCTTTGGTTAAGAAGATAAAATACAAAGATAACACTGAACTTCGTATTAGGTAAATAAAGATTATTCTTGTGTTAAAGGAACAACCCTGATCATTGTGTTTGAGGTATAACATTAATAATTGTGTTATGAACATAACACTGTTTGTCATCTGAACTGTAACTCTGATCCTTGTGCTAAGAACATGACCCTGAACCTTGTCTTAGAAGCATAATAATGTTCCTTGTTTTAAAATATAACCATGATTATTGTGCAAAAGTTACAACCCCAAATTTTATTTAACCCCTTTTTTTGGGGGGGGGGGACTTTGGGAATGCCAAAAACATGCTACTGGTCTTTCATGTTCTGACAGTGAAAATACTTAACCAAAATACATAAAACTTGGTATACTGTTGGCTTGTTGTTAAGCACAAAGTTACAGAATGGGCTATCTTTGCTGTGCCCATCACACGTATGGAAACCCAATATTTAGTTTTTTAAGCCCTAAGACTTAGTGCTTGAGCATTTTCTTCAATTTTTTTTAATGAAATAAAAAAACATTACATAATGTTAAAATATCAATTCTACAAAATAAAATTTAAAATTGTTGGAAAAGAGTTATAGTTACATTTATTTATTTATTAAAACTTAATTGTAAGTGTGAATTAGCATCACCCTTTTGCATAAAAAATGGTTAAAACATAGCCCTATTCCTCATGCAACAATCACACTCCTGAAATCATTGTTAGTCACAAAACACTGATCCTTACCTAAACATGTAATTAATTCTCACATTAAACACACAACCTTATATTGGGTTAGAGGTATAACACTGATTTACATTTAAAAACAATCCTCATCCTTATTTTAAGGCACAACCTTGAACTTTGTGTCATAGGTGTAACAATGATTTACTTTTAAAAACAATTCTCATCCTTATTTTAAGGCACAACCTTGAACTTTGTGTCATAGGTATAACACTGATCCTTGTGCTAGAGGCATAACACCAATGTTCAGGTTAGACGTAACACTAATACTTACTTTTCTGATTAGGTCCCGTGCATCAGGAGTCAAATAGGGTGGAAGATTTAATTTACATTTCAATATCTGTAATAAGAGTAAATATCCGAGACTCTAATTTACTAAAAGAAAAATACATATTTAACAAAGATTTTCAACATATACAATAACATCTAGTCATTGTTTGTTTTGTCAGTAATTTTTGTTTAAGGACAAAGGACATTATAAATAAGCAGATCTAAAAAAAAAGTACCAATTAACAGTACCAATTTTGACTGTTCATACATGTTTAAGAGCTTAAGTTTTAAAATCCATACAGGTTATATAGCATACTGAAAAAAGGATTTAGAAACTGTGAAGAAGAATCAGTTCTTAAGAAATAATATTTTGATAAATGATGTAACATTAATATATTATTTTCTATGTAAGGGTTTACTTCCTTTTACTACACAACTATTTCTGAGTGGATCACTGATGATAAATGTTCTTACCTTTTCTATTGTCTTCTTTCTGTTTTCTGCAGTAAATGGAGGCTATAAGACAAGAACATGTTTAGTGTATTTGTTTTTTTACTTATCTTATTCTTTAATTTGTTAAACATTTTGATAAATTTGATAAATTTTCTGCCATGTAAGAAATCAATGAAACGACTTATGAGTCAATAATATGCTTCAGTTAAATGTTTATGGTTAATCCACATACTCATTAAGTAACATTTTCATCTGCTAATTAAGTTCCATTTTCTTTCAGCTATCTTACATACCATTATATGAATTGTAAAAACATTTCCAAACACAGCCAATCATAATCAATATAAATTTCCAGAGCTAAAATACACTAACTTTATTACAGCTTAAAAGTAGGTTAATATGAATTAACACACAAAGAAGTTTCCAAATCTTTATATGTTAAGTGTTTCAGCTCCGTGCACAAGTCCTAGTGTTTTTGATATCCTAAAACATGTTTTTAATTCCTTAAATCTGTATTTATATTTAATAGCTACAAATTCTATAGATTGGTATTTACTAAACAGTTACAAGTTCTAATTCTTTAAATTGATATTCAATTAAGAATAACAGTTTCTCATTGTTTAAAGTGGTATTTACTGAAGAATTTAATAGCTTTCAATTCTCTAAATTAATATTCACTTATGAATTACAAAGTTTTTAATTATTTAATTCTATCATGCCCTGATGAGTATATCCCCATATCATAGGCAAACTGTACCAAAGAATTAAAAAAAGTGTAGAAAATAAATTGGTAGTCACTGTACTACATATTTAAGATACACACACACACACACACACACTTTACAATTTAAAATTATTCAATAAAAATTTTCATTTATGGAATTTTGTACATAAAAAATTGACCTTGGGTTGCTTTGAACATGTTCCAAACAAAAGCATTGGTGTTTGGAAATTTCCTGAATTTTGTCTGGGCATAATATGGTATTTGTAACTCCTTAAAAGGAAAGTCAAAATATTTTTGAACAAAATAGTACTAATTTGAACTTGTAGCTTCAATCAAACTTAGCCAATCTCAGTTTTTCAACTTCAGTTGTAATGGTGTGATGTAACTGCCTATATTTCAGCTTTGAGAAGTCATGGGTAATTGATCTGCACATGTAATAAAAACTTTTTTTTTCTTTTCTTTTCAACTGTATAAGATAATACGAGTTCCCAATCAGTAGAGATTAACACGGAGATTGGAACATAGTAATAAAAGCTTAGCTTAGTAATATGTTGCTATAAGAAAAAAATGTTTGTGAAGTTTATTCCACAATCACAAGCCCTGTTTTTTTTTTTAAACTTTATTTTTCATTTTGTACTTCACTTGAATTATGATTGCAAGTGATTTTCATGGAACAGAACGAGGTAGGCTTAGTTAGATCATTTTGCATTTGACCTTATCAAGTTTCGTTTCACAAATAAGATTGCTGTCTCAGAATGTGGTTACATTAGACCTTCACAGCCTAAAATAACTGCTTGAATGAGCAAAGAAAAGAAATGCGAAAATTTATCTATAAACATAATATAATAAACAAAGCAGGTTTAAAATTTATAGTGTGTCTCTCTCTCTCTCTCTCTC